CCTTCTCTGAAGGGTGGCAGGAAGATCGTAGGACTCGCATTGCCTCCCCCAAAACCTTAGATCTTCAGAAAACAAACAAAAAAGCAAACAATGTGTAACAGAAAAGCTTTTGACAGAAACAGTTAAAACACCACAACAGAACAGTGCTGGAGCTTTACAACTTTATAAAATTTGTGCTCTGTGGCTCCCTAAGCCAGATGCTGCTATTTTTGGGTGATTCCCTTCTGATAGTGGTTCAGGAAGCACAGAACCAGAGCTACCACTCATCCACCTCTGTGGTAGACCCGGAGACCCTGAGCAACTCAGAGATTTCAGAGTAACAGCATTTGGTATGCACAGGAGATTTAATTGCTGTGTTCTGGACAGAGTTTAAACGCAGAGACGTCAAGAGAGAAACCAAACAGGAAATTCCAGATCTGACAAGGGTCCATCCTGGGGATTGGGAAGCGGTCAGCCCACCACACACAGGAAGCTCCCAGAGACCCTGCTGGGCATAGCCTCTGCACATGGATGGCCTCCTCCCACCCCAGAGGCAAATGACTGACACAGACCCCAGAGGAGAAGGAAGGACACCCTTCCCACTATTTCTGTTCTGCCAAATATGAGACCTGGGGAACTCCCATGGGCTGCCAGATGACCAGCAAACACAGACTGTTGAGAATGGCCGACATCCATGGTTCCCACCACCTGCACCCCACTTGCTGAGGCCTGCCAGCTCCTTTTTTGCTGCAATTCCAACAGAGGCAGTTCAGCAGAGAGGTTACAGACCTATGAGATAGAACCACAGAATCATAGAATGTCTTGGGTTGGAAGGGACTTCTAAAGGTCATCTAGTCCAACACCCCTACAATCAGTAGGGACATCTCCAACTAGACCAGATTGCTCAGAGTCCCATCAAGCATGACCTTGAATGTCTCCACGGATGGAGCTCCCACCACCTCGTTAGACAACCTGTTCCAGGGATCCACCACCCTCATATTAAATAACTTTTTCCTATTGTCCAACCTAAACATACCCTTCTCTAGCTTGAAACCATCACTGCTTGTGTTACCATTACATGCCCTAGTGTACAGGTCTTCCCCAGACTCCTTCCAGATATTGGAAGGTCACTATAACTCCTTCTTGTGTTGGGAGCTCTGGAGCTGTACGCAGAATTCCAGGTGAGGTCACACCAGGGCAGAGTAGAGGGGCAGAATCACCTCTCTCGATCTGCTGACCACACTTTTGATGAGGCAGTGCTGCTGTTTGGAGCTGGAGCATTCTGATGCAGACCATGAAGCAGCAGGAGATTGCCAGTTCAGCTGCAAAGATGCGTTTCTATAGTCTCCTGCACAGGTCACATGGGAGGAAACACCAGCAGATATTAAAGCACTATTCCCTCATCTTAAAAAAGACTTTTAACCCATGGTCCACAGATTTCTTTGGGTATACACATAGAAAACATCCACAGAAAGCAATTGCCTAAGCAGAGGCCATCTTCACCACATTTTTATAATCTGTTATCCAAGAGACAAAAAAAAAAGACCCGTGCTCTAGATCCACCTTTATCGATGGCACTCAGGAGTTATTCCACCATGTTTTATCTTCTACCAACTAAACCCAAGGGCCACCTTGCTTGTCAGACTATTCCAAAACTGAACACATGCCTGGTACCACTCAGTGTCAAGGTTTAAGGGATAAGGCAGCTTTTAATTTAACAATATGCTGTTACTCTTAAACTGGCTCAGTGGGATTTACTCTACATAATACATTTAAAGTTATAGAAATTATTTTAAGCCTTTTTTTAAACCTCTCTCATTTACCACAGCTTCCTCAAAGCTGTGTTTACCTGTGCATCCCCCGAATAGTTGCTGCTTCAGCTCATGAGATACTCCAAGCAGTGCATAGTGCTGGAGCTCTGGCTGGACCAGACCATCAGTCAGGACTACCCACTCGCTGCAGAGGCATCAGTCACATCACCAGCGAGCTGCCACCCTTGGTCTCTTTCAACAGAGACTACTAGTGTTTTGACAACATTTGCTGTCTAAACATTAAATATTATTATCCTAATTTGAAAGTTTCTCCAGGTCTGTCCAGCTCGATTTGAGTCTGAGACACCAAGACCCTTGTGAGCTCCTGCAGAGCAGTGTCCCTGCAACCAGCATCCCTCTGTCCCACACACCCACTGCCTGGCACATGGCAGTGGTGCCAGCACTGGGGCCTGCGTGGACATGCAGCTGGCACTGCAACAACTGAGGAAGGAGAAGGGAAAGTATGAGGAGAACTGAAAATTGGCCAGAGAAGACCTCCTCAGTTGCTAAGCAGGCAACACAGCACAGCAACTAAAGCAAGCTCCTGAATCCTACCAAGCAGAAGAATTTGGAGCAACACTCAGTGTTCTCTCTTTTTTCCTGGTTTCACTATCTGCCAGCTTATTTCCCCTTGCTACAAGCCATTCCATCCATACTTCCTCTGCCTTAGGTGTTCATATTTTCCCTTTATACTGTTTCCTTTGTAATTATGTATCTGTAACGACAGATGCATGTACTTGCATGCATGCCAGATGCGCATATATTTATATACCTTCACTTTTTCCAAGCCCTTCTTGATCCACAACAATGGAGATTAATAATTTCTGTGATACTACAGATTAACATGACTAAAATTAAGTTAGAAAAGATACAACTGCTCGAGGTGAAAAGCAGCTCTCCCCCCTGTCCAATGCGTTTGCACGTTACCCTACAGCATTTCCATTCCTACCTGCCTTGGCTCCTATGCCATACACAGTTGTCTTTGTGGTTGCAGTGGGAATAAATAATTATTTGATCTGCAATAAAAATAAGCTGGTGCACTGAGTGGAATAAGAAAGAAGAGTACCATAATCCTGTTGCCAAAAGGCTCAGTCTTCCTGATCAGCCGCTTTTGCTTACTTCAGCTAAAATGACACTTCAACACTGACTGTAACAGCTCAGACTTGCAACAGCTCTCTCCCACAGAACATTTGTCCTTAGCTGTGTGTTTTCCCAGATCTTTCTGTGTTGAGGTTGCATATTCACCTTCCCACAACATGACATATTCTCTCCCTCTCACTGCTCCATTTGCACTGACAACTGCAATTAAAATTAAACCAAAACAAATTCATATTGGCTGAAAAAAAATGAGTAAAATAAACTCCAGAAGCCTCATCTGCCAAGAGAAGTTTTTGGAATATCTACGCAGACTTCAAAATGCAACGTGGAACAACAGCACCCCACAAATGCTTTTAGACAAAAAGCACTTTGCTTGCAGCGCCACCAACTCCCCAGGAAACACGTGGAGATGAGACACAGCATGGAACTGAGCATCTCCATCACCAGAACTCCTGACTGGCAGGAAGATGCCAAAAGGGTTAGCAGGGCTGATGGGGCGGGAGGGTTAACAGCCTGATTGTAAAATCAATGTAATAAATGCTTGGTAAGTTACAGGAACATGCGGGAAGAGGAGGCCGCGATTGATAAAGGACTGCGGCTTTGATGCTGCACTGGGGACTTGTTTATTGACAAGAAAGCCAATCTCTTCTCCCGGCCAGGCCAGGCCAGGCAAACCTGCAAGCGCTTACCAATTAATTGGTGGGCTTTTCTGCCTTGGGTTGCTTTAACATCTCTCCCCCCACTCACTCCAAGTTAACCAGCTCAGGAGGTGCTACTCCAAAGCAATCTTGTCTCCTTCCCTTTCCTTGACATAGAGGAGCCCTTCCAGGGCAGGTGGGAAAACCTGCAGCTGAAATATGGCCAGTGAGAGCCCCTAGACACAGGCCAAGCCCCTATGCAAACCTGAGCTTTTCTTGCCCAATCAGTTCACCACCAGAGCTATTCCTGAAGAATGGTGAGGGAGGACAAGGCACAAAAATGTGTCTTTCTATTCACACAGGAACTGCAGATATAATCTCTTTAAACTGAAAAGAGCAATTTTTTCCTCATTCAAGCAAATCAGACTCTAAGCATGAGTACGATTTGGTTATTAGTCTGGTATACAGGCCCTGCACCTTCCTCCATCCCAGACCTCTAAGGGATCTGCACAGCACAGGAGAGCTTGTGAAGACAGACCAACAGCCGTGCACTCCACACCTCCCCTATCCCCCGCCCGCCCTGCTCTGTTTATCAGCCAGTCAATAAGAAAAGGTAGTTCTTACTTAAGGAGGCAGAAGTCAACTCGTCAGGTCGATCAGCACTCTGTCTGTAAACATAGTTTCCCGTAAAATCAATGAACTCCAGTTACAGAGAGAAGAGCCTGAGTGCCAGAGACTCCCTGTGCTCCCATCACCGGGGAAGGGCTGCCCCTGGTCCCTTCTCCAGCCTCGTGTCCCACTGCTGCTCCCACCATCATGCTCACTGTGCCTGGGGCACACAGCCCACCTGAGCTCCTGCTCCTTCCCTGCAGCATCACTGCATCCAGCAGGCCCCCCAGCACATCTGGGACCCAGCCAGAGGACCATGGACCCACAGGGCAGAGAGTACTCCATTGGGGCAGCAGCCATGGCAGGAGAGAGCTGAGCTCCACCAGGATGGCATGGGGCAAAGGGAAGTCCTGCGCTGCACACCCTGCGCTCCCATCAGGACTCTCTGCCAACCGCGGCTGGTGATCTGCAGGGCACATGTGGATCAATCCCCCCATCTCCCCATGTCACCTCCTCACAGCCCCAGCCCAATCTTCACAGGCCACTTTACAACAAGGCTCC